GTGCTCCCTGGCTTCTGGCCTGGGGACCGCAGGCATGTGACTGCATATCCGGAATCAAAAATGAATGTCTGTTCACTTGTTTATCAGTTCAATCCATGTAGCTTAGACTAACCTGTTAAGATTGAATCACTTCAGCCTCAGGCTTTTTGACTGTCTGAACTTAACCATGAAGCTGATTCCTGGGCTGGATTGGGTCCACAGACAGGCCCCACATGCCAGATCTAGTGCGCAAGGTTGGTTTGGTGTGGGCACTATATACAGTCAATGGCCCAGGCTGATCTCATGTTCATACTCAGTGTGTTGGACCAGGTCTAGCATGTGCTGTATGTAGTGCATGAGGCCAGTCTGAGACCTACCAGCAGTACTGCTGGTCAAATAATAGGACTTCACAGGCCAGGTCCGGTATATGTACCGTATCTTTGATACTCTGGTTGTAGAATATTCCTTTTTCTATGATGGACACTTAATATCTTCATTGTCTGCAGCAATTCTTTGGTATTTGTCTGTGTAACAGGAAACCAGGGCCTCCTGTTACTTGCAGAGGAAAGCTACAGCAGAGATGTCCCTAGCGGGGGGTAAGACTGCTGATTTTTGGGCTAGCTGCAGGGGAATAGGCAGCCAGGGCTCATAGACTATAAGTGTCTATTTTGGGTGGGGGGGGTGGCTGGGCAGCAATATGATAACTCAGAGGGGAAGATTTTGAGTTTGAAGCAGGTGCTTGTATTTTTTTTTTGTTTTAGTTTATACCAAAGGACTGGGTGTGGTTGATTTGGAGGCCACAATGGTGCTGTAGGGGCACCCAGCATAGAGCCCTTCCAGGGTCTGGGATACAGTGGGCTGTATGGTGCAGAAGCCCAAATACTTTAGAAGGAGGCAGAACTGAGAGTAGCTTTGCCCTGGGTCAGGATGCCGGGGGGGACACGGGGACATCAGGGCGGGTTGGGCTGAACCAAGAGCAGCCTTGCCCTCAGGATGCCAGGGGGGCTGAGACAAGATGCAAGACTGGGCCAAGGGACCTGGAGATGAGAGATGATGCAGAGAAGGCTGATGCCAAGAGAGCTGTGCCTGAGTCAATGGGCCAGGAATGGAAACCTGTAGACAGAGAAAAGGGGAGCTAAAGCCAAGAGGGCTGAGGCCTCTACAAGAGAACTAAACTGTGGACAGAGTAACATCTCTGAGACATGGGTGTAGCAGTAGAGGCAGAAGGCTTAGCTCTTCAGGCAATTTGGGGGCAGACAGGCTGGAAGCCCCCAAAGCCAAGAGACTGGGTCAAATGGGGAGAGTTGGAATGCAAAATTGAGATGGGTCAAGTATGGCCCACAAGAGGGACACAGTACAGGGAAAGAGAGAGCACACCCTGGGCTTGCCAGCCTCTGAGGACAGCCTCCCCTCATTACCTTTTAATACCAAGGTGTGGCAGAAGAGGAAGCAGGGTGAGACCCTGAGGAGTTGGAGCGGGAGCCAGGCAGGGTCAAGGTGGCCACTAGAGGACATCACAACAGCCCTTAGGCACCATCCTGTTACAGGCAGGGTAATTACCTCTGGTTGCAGGAGTGCTTTTGTTCTGTCCCACAAAATGTCTTTGAGTTTTTGTTGAAATATAGAACATATAAATTGTGATTGCCCTTAGAAGTAGACTGTTCCTAGTTTACAACAAAGTTAGAATGATGGATGGGGTATACACACATTATTGATTGATGACAGTGACACAGTGATGTTAGTTAAGTTGTCACAGGAACAGTCAGTCATCTGAGACTTTTCCCTTCCACCTCTCTGGTAGAACCCAGAGAGTCCTAATGAATGGATCTGTATCGTCTGTATCGGCAGTGTGATGCTATAGCCAACAGGGCAAATAATACTCTGGCATGCATTTCCAGCAAAACCAAGGAAGTGATTCTCCCACTCTATTCGGCCTTGGTGAGACCACAGCTGGAGTACTGCATCCAATTCTGGGCACCGCACTTTAACAAGGACGTAGTAAAGCTTGAGAGAGTCCAAAGAAGGGCCACCTGTGCGATCAGAAACTCACATGGCAAACCATATGAGGAAAGGCTGAGGGACCTGGGACTCTTCAGCCTGAAAAAGAGGGGACTTGGTAACAGCTTACTGCTACATCAGGGGTGTACATCAAGGGTTCGATGAACAACTGTTCACCAGGGCACCCTTGAGGAAAACCAAGAGTAATGGTCACAGACTCCTCATTTCAGGTTCAACATTAGGAAAAACGTCTTCACAGCTAGGGTTTCCAGACTGGAATAAACTCCCTCCAGAGGTGGTGCAGTGGCCTACCCTGGAAATCTTCAACAGGAGACTTGACAGTCACCTTGCTGGGGTCACCTGAACCCAGTTATCTTTCCTGCTTGGTGCAGAGGGGCTGAACACGATGATCTTCTAAGGTCCCTTCCAGCATCACAATCTATGAATCTATGAAAACCTGCTTATTATTTATATGATGCTCCATTTAATGAGACTAAATGAGTTGCAGTACCTTGGCAGGGTAAATATGCACCTTAAACTAATGAAACCAGGGATGTATCATGTAAGCTTTCATGAGCTCAAGCTCACTTCATCAGATGCTGTTAAAGGAAAAGGATGCTGTTCTTTCACAACATTTGATGAAGTGAGCTTGGGCTCACAAAACCTTATGCTATACATCTCTGATACAGTTAGCTGACAAGGTTACCATGCCTTCTGCCTGACTGCAGACTAACATGGCTTCTGCCTGACTGCAGACTAACATGGCTAACTACCTGTCTTTGGAATACATTGCCAGCTTCAATTGTGAGCATACAGTAACAATAGTGGAATGTAGATATGTATAAATGAAATAGTTCCCAGCTTTCAACTACCTGCATTTTTCAAAATGCCTGTGCCAAAACTTGTGGCTTTTATTTATGTAACTATATAAAATACACTGGTTCCTTGCTGTATATTCACAGTTAAGAGTTTGCAATATATCACAACTCAGTCTAATTTAAAAGGAGCATTATAATATACATGAGAACAGAACTGCTAGAAAGTATGATAATGTTGGATTACAAGTAAGCTATTAAAAATTTCTTAACTATATATGTCCCAAAGTTTAAGAATTTTTATGTCAAATTCAAGAACTCAGACTTACAGGCAAACATAATTTTTCCTATGAATTTCCAATATTTAAAAAAATAAACATTTGTTCTGACAAAAAGTAATTCAAGAATAGCCTACATAGTATTTAAGTAAATAGTTGCATGCTGCATGGGCATCTTGCTATTAGTCTACATATATGACACAACTAATTCAGTACAAATACTGTACTGTGCATTTTTACTATTTAACGCACATACATATTCAATTTTAATTTGTACATCTTTTGGCACAGATGGACATTAGCTGTTGGAAATATTAATGCATACAAGGAACAAAACTCATAAAATAATAACTACCAACAAATATATATGCAGCTTAGATTTCTTGGATGCTGACTTCTTCATGGGATTGTGGATTCATTACACTTGCTCCGGCATTCACATTTATTCCATGTTCCATAATAATTGCTACTAATGGCCTTACCATAATGAAAACATGCTTCCCACAAAATCAGATTTTATTGCTGGTCAGTTTTGGCACTTCTAAGTCCTCATCTGAAATACACTGTACAGCTCTGGATGCTCGTGTTCAAGGAATGGGAATTCAAGGAAATTGAAACAGGTGTGCAGAGAAGGATTAGTTTAGGAGAGGAGACTAGATCTAGTCTAACAAAACAAAGGCTGACAGGGGAGATGGTGGATATCTATGACTGTATCAGGGTGCTACATGCCAGAGAGGGAGATTAGCTGTAAAAGCTAAAGGACAATGTTGGCAGAAGGGGAAGTGGTATAAACTGGCCATGAATAAATTTAAATTGGGAAATAGAAGAAAATTTCTAACTATCCAAATTGTGTGGTTTTGGAACAGCTTTTCAATAGGAGTATGGGGCAGGGGCAAGAAATCATACCGTTTTTATGATAGAGTGTGGTAACTTTCATGAAAAAAAAATTATAAAACACGATTGTTTGCTTAAATGCAGAAAGGACTAGTAGGACATTTGGACTAGTAGATCATCTACTAGTCCTTTCTGCAGTTAAGCAGTCATGTTTGCTGATTGCCACATTGAGCTCACTGATTTTTGTTTGGCTAAAGTGTGTCTTCCAGAAAGCCATCCACTCTTAATATGAGGAAATCAAAAAATGGAGAATCCACCATTTCCCTTCCCAGATTGATCAAATGGTTACAGTTTCAACTCTTTATTTTCTCACTTTGAAAGATTTTCTCCAGGCTTTGAATATTTTTATTAACAGTTTTATGGACATTTTCTGCTCCTTCTCTGGTTTTTCAGTGTCCCCTTTTAAAACATAGGCATCAGAACTGTGCACAGAATTATCCTACTGTAGTCTGCTATATAGAAAGGTAAAAATCTTCTCTTTACCCCTACTCAAGATTGCTCAGTTTGTACATTGTAATGGTAAGTCATACAGTGGTGCTTGTTAGGACTGTGCAGTGAGGGGAAATTAAGTAAGCAGTGAAGCATTTGGGAGGAGACTTTGTTTAACTGTAGGGTTCTAGAAGCTATAAAAGAGGGTCTCTCACTAGCTGCTTTGGAAGGATGGAGGAAGTGAGACACTGGACATGACTTGATCCTACACGTTTACAAGAAGACTTGCATGGCAGGAAGCATGATGTTTAGGATGAGGCATAAAATTCCTCTAGCCCTAAGCGCACCGTAGCTATGCTGTTTCCAGGCTGATCCTGCACGTTGGGCAGAGGTCAGGTCTATCCTGAACCCAGGGCTTCCCCCAGCCCACAGCACGTTCCAGAACCTGTGGCTGTCTTGGCTGGGTCTGGAGTCCTGGGACTTCTAAAAGCCACATATGGAGCTGGGCTGTCCCAACAATTAGCTGATTGTCAGACCTTTATGTTTAATGCAGGTATGAATTCTGTTCAAAAGGATTTTGTAAAAGACGTGTTCTCATCTCTTCCAGGTCCCTATCAATTGCCTTTGTACTAACTTTTGAATCTTCTGACTGCATTTGTCTTCTGTGATCTGATGCTACACAGCAGTTATACCTAATCCTCTGGTGAGTTTGGTGCCAAATGGGAGAAAAATCAGTAAAAAGCCAAATTCTGCAGTGAACTTTGGATTTAACAGCAGTTGCGTACAACTATTGATTCATAGAAAATGGAAGGGTCTTAATTTCCTATACACAAATTGCTGTAGCCTGTTGAGTATCAGTAGTGCCAAGGGTGGAAACAGATGTCACCTTTATGCTGCCATAAAAAAAATTATGGCCACACAAAGGCCAAGCAAAGGTATGTTAGTACCTCTTGTTGCACCACAAAGGCCCAAATTTCTGGCTACAGTGTAGGTGGTATAAATTTGTGTTGCTTTATTGTGGCAGACATGCTAGGTTTATGGCAGGAGAGCGGTCAGCCTGGAGCTGCCCACTCTCTCGAGATGCCTAGGGCACTCTTAGGGCTTCAAGGGCCTGATCCTGCATGGCCCAGGATGGTGAATTGGGCCCCTGAAGCCCTGGGAGTGCCTTCCTGGGTTCCCTCATTTGGGATTCTTTGAGCACCTATTGGCATTGGCAGTCTCAGCTCCGGGGCTGTGCTGGAATCAGCTGATTGGTGGTCCCACTGCTAGGATCACATCAAATTCACTTCCACGTGGTCCTGGGGCACATCTCTGACTGGGGAACACATTGCCCATTGTCCTGCAAGAGCAACAGGTGGGACAGTGGCCAAAGTGTGTTTTCCCCAGTGAGGCACATCAGCTGTGCTGGAACACATTCCAGCACAGCTGATCTGCTTCATTTAGTGACAGCTGTTTCTACTCCAAGTACTAAGTTAAGCCAATAGGATTGAATAGGCATGGACTGTAGCATGAACCCTTTTCCTTAAGCCACATATGTTGTGTAACAGTGATTTTTTCCCCCTGCTCCCTCCCCACCCCTCTATTCCACCCTATAGGACTCACTTATTAACCACCCAGGCTACTGTATTGATTTTATTGATGGGCAGTGCATGCCCCAGTTAATTTACTGAAAGAAGAAATATAAAACAATAAAAAGACCCCACACCAACATCAGTGCAACTACAATGTGCTTGACTGTTTCTGTCTTAATGATATTTCTGCACAAAACAGACCTTAATTTGCATACCCCTCTACCACCCTTGACAGAAGGTTCTATGAAGAAAAAGCAACGGTAGGATCCCTAGTCGTTCTACTTTAATGCATTATAATGTCCTGCCAAAAGCCAACTCCACAACAATAGAGCATCTTGCTCTATTGTTTTAATTGTGAGCAGATATATGGGCAGAGTCGATAGAAATTTATTGTAAACTGCAAAACAAACAAAGTAGGCTTTCCAATCTATACCATAGAACAGTTGTATTCAACCTGTGGTTGTGGACCCCTGGGAGTCTGCAAACTATGTCTAATGGGTCTGTGAATGATGACTACAATCAATCAAAAGTATGTGAATTTCCCACACTTACAATTCAAAGGGTTTCACACCTTCATTCAAAACTTTTTAGGGGTCCACAAGTGAAAAAAGGTTGAAAAGCACTGCATAGAAAACTGCATTGTTACTGATTTTGTTGACATATTGACAAAAGCTGTGAAGAGAGAATTGTATAACTTAGAAAGTCATAAATAATATTGACTATAGAGCTACCCAAAATACTCGTATGGAAAATAACCAGTTGGTAAGAAGTAATCTAATATACAGCTAAAAACATTTCATTTTATTGTGTGCAGTAAGTAAATGGAAGTGATGTCTGATTTTTTTCTCTCCATGATATATAGCAGTGGTGCTCAACCTTCTGGCTCCATGGGCCAGATGAGTAGGAGGGGGAAAGTCTGCAGGCTGAATCAAGCCTTTTGTGCCAGGTTTGGATGCAGCACCACCCGCATGTGCTGCGATTAGTTCTATGGGCCTGGCGCCACCCCCCTCCCACTGGGATTGGTCTCCAGGGTCATCCCCTCTAACCCTAGCATGCTAGGATTGGGTCGTGGGGGTCTGGCATCACTCTCTTTCAGCCTCCTAAACAGAAATTGGGCTGCCGCTGCTCAGCCCTGCATTCTGGGATCAGGAAGCCAGCATGCAGCGCCCAGGGTTCCCTGGGTCTGGAAGTTTGGCAGTGGAGGAGCAGTGTCATCACTCTCCTGCCGTCAAATTTCCAGACCAGTGGGGAGCCCCATGGGCTGGATGATACCAGGCTGCAGACTGGATCTGACCCATGAGCTGGGGGCTGAGCACCCCTGATATGTAGGCATATTTTGCCAAGTCTTTCTCAGGATCAGCACGTGGCTGTATATTTGTAAGCAGAGTAAGTGACTTTATAAAACAGAGACGTTAAATATCAGGTTTGAGCCCTGAAAGTTGTATAACAGTGAACCCTGTTTTATCAAGCAACCAGTCAAGAAATCCAAGAACAAAGGGGTAATGTAGACCCCATGGAAATTGATGGCAAATTCCCCATTGACTTCAGTGGAGACAGGATTTCACCTAAGGTGCTTTAATGGTAGTGACTACATAAAAGAGAGAGCAGAATACTGTCCAGAATGTTTGGAGGTAACTTGAGGCAGTCTTCTAAAACAGGGAAGCTGCCTTGCAAGGGAAGGCCTCTTCCACAAATGTTATTGCATTTAATTATAGGGACACTCAGCATTTGATAAGCCTGCTTTGGACAAAATGGCTGTAATAGGTAAACATTAAAATGTGTCAGTGCATCAATGCTCATGCTTGAGTAGAAGCAACTTGAAGACAGAGGAGACAAGTTTATACTTTCCTTTAGTCTGAAAGCTAATTCTTGCTGGCAAGTTAAAGAGGAAAATAGGTTATTCATGAAGACCATCCTTGTTGGGTTTCACTGCTGTAGGGGAGGATGAAATGCCCACAGTTTTGTAGCTCTGAAATCCAAACCAACAAACTCATCTGACTTCATGGAGGCATAAACAGAGTTCTTGTAAACTCTGCCACCCATCACCCCTGTGTGTTAAGAGGCATATTCAGAGGCAGACCTACAGCCTGTATCAAAATTGCCTCTCCCTGCACATGGGATCTATCATTTTTCTTTTAATTTCTTTATTTAAAAAGAATAGAAATGAAATGTAAAATAATACAATAAAGAAACATCCAAGTTTCACAATTTTCACCTCAGAAGTTCAGGCAATGCAGAAGCCAGTTCCCTTAGTAGCACTATTAGCTAAGCCACGCTGTATTTATGTGGCATTTTCTCTTTATTAAGTACACCTCTTCGTACTATACTACTGCTTCATTTTGAACGTAAAGGGAAACAGAAAATTTTCACTTTTCACATGCCTGACTATGTATAGGCATTATGTCATGCTCTGTCCTTCCAGTGTCTCCCAGGGGTTATTTCTAGTTCTCTCTATATCTTAATCTTTGGTGGTCAAAACAGAGGGCAGTGTTGGCATATCATCTCACACCAAATCTGAGGGAAGAGATCTGAGGTCCAGCTTTTTTACTGTGGTCCGGACGTCCTCCTCATGACTCCATATACACATCAAACATACTCTAATTGGAGCTCTGTATTTCTGCCTTGATCTGGGGTGCCCGCAAATGATTTTTTTTAGTGTTAAGCTTTTTTTTTTAAAAAATGTTTTCTCAAGTGATCTGCATCAAAAGAACATTCTGTCTGTCCTACTGACTTGGCACCCATGGCTATAATTTCTGAGCACTTCACAATCATTTTGATCTCAGAGCACCTCTTGTGACAGGGCAGTACTCTTATTACAGTTTTACAGAGGGAGAGCTGAGGCACACAAGAAGGCTGTGAGAGAGCAGGGAACTGAAACTGCTAAATCCCAGATTAGAGCCCCAGTCACTTGACCATCTTTCCTCTCTGCAGACCTGTGTGCTAAAACATTTCCCTTGGCTTATTTTTCAGGTCCACACCATCCAGTTGTGCTGTGGATTGCTGGTTCCTGTTCAGTGAAACACCCCAGCATGCCCTATTCTGGTGACACCACACTCTCCACAGAACAGCTCTGGAGCTTGAGGCCAGCCTATAGGGTAAGGTAAGCTAATATTTCTAATAATATAGCACCTTCATAAATGTGAAGACATAATTTATGTTCATAAGCTACATGAGATGGTTCAAGACCAACAATAACCAGGGGTTCAATATTATGAAGAATCTAGCCATCGTCTGTAACAGATCTATTACTATGTGCTGTCCACAGGTTCACGGTAGGTCTGTGCTGAGTCTGGAAGAACCAGTGAGATGTTTTCTGGGACTTCGTTGTGAGAGGAGGAAGTGTTCTGCAGAAGAACTGGATACTGTAGGCTGATGAAAATAGAGAGAGGTTTTTTTTTTTTTTATACTGCACAGTCTAGAGTGGGTCTATATCTATTTGAACATTTGGCAAATCATTATAGAACCCTCTGGTTTTATATTTTAATGTATGTTCAGGCCAGTTTAAATCATGTGTCCATTCTTTGGAAACATTGGCAAGTGGCAAAATATACTATTTTTCTTCCAGGATTTTCTGTTTCTCCTGCCTGTTCTAATTTCACCCCACATTGTTCATTTTCCACTGTATTGGTGGGAAGGGTCCGTTGTGAAATGATAAAGAGCTAAGCAGAGGAGTGCAAGATGGGGAAATTTCCATCAGTTGCTCTGCTTTTGTTACTAGAGTAGCAGATCAGCTATTGCTTTAGGCCAGTCTTTTGTCCAAATAATTGACAGCCACAAATGGACGGCAGGGCAAAATTTTCCATTAATGGGGAGGAGGTAGAGGCATCTCTGATTTTTATCTTTCCTTTTCTAAAAGGGAAAGAGAGCTCCATGAAGCAGAAATGTAACAACTGTAGACAAACTGACCTCTTGGTCTCAAATTCCTTTCATAAGCCTTCTTTTATAATGTAATGCCATGGGATACAACTGACCAGAGAGCCCCTCTCATTGGACAGTAGCTAAGCATAATACTGTGACAGAATAACTGTCTGTACATAGAAAGGGAAGACACCTTTACATCAGTGGGTAACAGTTTAAGAGGATTTACTTTTGTGTCTTTTTAAAGCAACAGGGGACCACCTACTAAACTCTAATGCAATAGAATCCCTGAAAGTAACTAGCTGATGATGTGTCTTCACATGCTCATGTGACTTCAGTACTCCCAGGCTAAGGTGAAATTCTGCCTTCTGTTTGGCCTGTAAGCAGACAAAGATTTGAATCTGGAAAAGATAAAGATAGTATGTTGTGCAGATCTGGCTGTACTCAGGTGATGGGAGTTTTGCTTAGAGTCTTGACACCTTTACAAGTTTGGGGAAGACCTGGGTGTTCCAGGGATTTTACAGAGGCAAGGATTGTAGAGGGAGGAGTCATTTTCTGGTTTCTAAAACAGTCATCTCTGCAAGTAGGGTCACTGTGGTGCAGGGTTTGTCCCTCTGGTTGGGGCTGGTATTTCTGTGAGGAAGCAGCCCCAAAGTCTCTTGCCCCAGCTTATTCTCAGGTTAGGTAAAGTGTGGTTCTACTCTCACAGACCTTAACTGCTTTCTTTCTCAGCAAGGGCTGCAACCCCTTCTTGTTTCTTTTTAGTGTTTTGATGCTTTTTAAGTGTTATGGCCCTCAGCTCATTTCCCCATCTTGCTTTTTTGTCCCATTTTTCTAAGATATTAATGGTGATGCTGAGAGAGGCTCTCAGGTCAGAGGCTGTAATCATTTTTAGGACGGATCAGGCTATCTTTGCTTGGAGATCCATATTGGAAGTGGGGGAAGGGGACTCTAGAGTGGTTAATGTTGGACTGAGATAAGCCTGGGAGCAAGTTCCAGGCACAGCTTTTCTGGGCTTCAGCTTCATATCTGTGAAATGGAGGCAGCAGGGTGCTAGCTACTAGCTAGTAGTGCATGGAGAGCAGCTTTGAGGCTAGCCATTCTACATGTTTTATCACTGCTTAGTTTTCATGCTGCATCAGTGGCAGTATTGAATGTGCTCCCCCAGCCCTTCTGCTGTAGGTGTGACATGGATTTTATTATGGTAGGTACCTACTGTTTAAGGGCTCTTTAGCAGAATAGTTACAGACTGTCCCTGTGATGCTAGAAACATGAGTTTGAGCCTTGCTTCAGACTCGTGCCAAAGGCTTAATCAACCCAGGTGTAAAAGGTCATTCATGCTGGGGAGTAGAAACTGGCAGTAGAAACTGGCCTGCTTTATTCTTGCTAGCCTTTGGAGGAGGAGCAACTGGGCTTGGGTGGATCTTTGTATTTTTTTGAGTTCCTGTGGAGCATTTAGGGATGCCATTGTTGGAGGTGCAAGAACAGAATTTCTTGTGAGGCTACAGATATAACAAACAGCTTGACCTGAAACAAGAAAGCAGGAAAGCTGAGCATCCGGGACAGAGTTCTCTCTGAAGTAGAAAGCCAACATAAACCTTATACCACTTCAGTGCCATTCAACCCTTTAAAAGAAAGGAGTACCCATAGAGTTGACATGTGGGAGATGACTGGAAATTAGTGCAGGGAAGAAAAGGTTAAGAGAAAGGAGGAGACACATAATGGGGACGAGGAGAAAAGAGGAGATTGAGGGGAGGTCAACAAAATGCAAGAGACAATGGTGGTCATAAAAGCAGCAGATCTCCCTATGACAGCAGTGCTAATATGATGAACACACATAGAATAAAAGTTTAGTTGCTGTCTAAAAGCCACTGGCTTACTTTGATTTTTAGTTCAAACCTTCCACTTACCTCATGGAGTACAGCTGCAGCATATTTTATAGATTGTACCCCTTACCCACAACTAACCTACAGCACTTCCAGGTAAGTCTCAGCTAACTCATTTTCATTGAAATCACTATCTTAGCCAGTCAGCTACCAGGCAAATAGAGAAACATCCAGGCTGTAGTGAATTAAGGTCTAGTTGGGGACCAGATCCTACTGATTCATCTTCCCACTCTGTGCCATCTCCTGTCAATCCTTCTGATATTCTTCTTTTGATTCTGACACACATTTCAGTATCTAACCTTAGAGAATACACTTTCTTCTAACAATTATATTTATATGTATAAAATCACATGATTGCTATATCACCATAGCATCATACGGAGATGTACCGCATGGCTACAGCGACATAGGGTGATGTGTAGACATGCCTGAGATGTTGAAACATATGGGACTATACACAGTTGCTACACAAGCTCCTATGACACAAACCTGAAGTGCTGTTGTCAGAAAATGTACGGTGGTGTTTGGTTTAAATGAGTAATGTGTATATATATGTTCATTTGTGATTAGAAAAGAAAACTGGAGCAAAAGATTCAAAAGAATTCCATTGTGCTGATATCCCTATTGAAACTTGGCTTTGCTTTTTGCAAAACCTAGTATAAAACTTGCAAAAAAAGCCAGATAGCTTTCATTTTGCCAAAATTCACTCTAACATTTGCATGGGAAAAGTATCATCTTCCTTACTGTGGAAGCAACCTGAATGGAAACAGAGGCAACAATGGAAGCAGGTCTTGGAAGAAGCTATTTGTGTTCCAGTCTGGTCAGCATGGCATAATTAATAATTGCTAATTTCAGAATTGCCTCTGTTGCAGCTATAAAACAGAACAGGCAATTGAGTAATCAGATGCAGCAGGGTGTGCTCATTAGAAAATGCTTCTTGTTGGCTTTGTAATACTCTGCTATACTCAAACCAGAGTCTGATTGTACAAAGTTGATATAGTTTCAAATAGATAGCCACACTATTTAAATTTAATGATGGACTAATATGATTGCTAGGCTTTTCAAAAATCATAACGGGATATTCATGTTGGCAATGGAATGGGGGTCTGGACAAGGCCAGTATCCTAGTTCAGTTTCACTTTAATTCTCAATTGGCCCTCCCTTTGGTCTTCTTCATGGAGTGAATTTTATCCTTTTGAACTTCTAAATATGCTCTAGCTTGGTGGATCTGATGTGCACCAAGAGGCTGTAAGGTGAGAAGAGGGCCCCAATCCTGTAAAAATATTAGAATTCATTCTACCCAGGTTGCAACTTCCTTCTGGGTTGAAAAACATGGGGCTTTGGAGGAACAGTAGAGCACACTGTTGCTGAGCACTAAAGCTGAATGTTCAGGAGTCTGATGATTTAGAAATCAGCTATTCTCAGAATAATCTCTGGAGATGGCCATGGGAGGGAATATTAACAAGGTTCTACTGTCACCATTTCCTGTATATCTTACTTCTCACTCCTCCTTCAGATAGTACTGTCTCTTCTCTTTCCTGCCACAATTTTGCCAGGACTGCTATGGAAATCCAGAGACTTGCATTAGAGCACACCGATTCATTCAGCTGATCCAGTACCCACTAGTAGATGGCAAAGTTCCTATTACTGTACATGGTGCAGAATCTGTCCCCAGGGAAGCACGTTCTTCCTTACCTACCCACCAGACCAATAGCCAATATCAAGAGACTGGGGGAGTGTGTGCAGCAGAATTGGATAATTGTATGTATTTATTGATGTGGAAAGACTGAATAGGTGACTGAACAAAAACAGGATGGGAGGAGTGAGATAAAGGGAGAAAAATGGTGACTGAACTGACTGCTATTTCTGCCTGTTAGTCTGCTGGTTTCTGGCAAGTCAGTGAAAACAAAGTACCAGGAAAATTACTTGTTGCAGCTACAAAAGGAATGGCAAAATTCATGCACAACTTAAATATCTTTTCTACGATCCTAATAAGCAAGGACAGGGATGGGCATATGCAAAGGAATCAACTCAGACCCATAGGATGTGGCCTTGAGAGCAAGGGTTGGACAACCCTTCAGTATCCAGGATATCCTGAACCCTTCAGCAGCCAGGTACTGGTTGATGCCAAGCTGGTATCTTACCCTCCTCCTGCACTGCCAGTCAGTTGACACAGAACTGCTCTTCCATCAGCGGGTCAGCCCGATTATAGGCAGTCTGGTATATGTTGCCATTTGAGTCTCCAATCACTGGGAGGGAGATTGGCATATTTTAGCTAAGAAAAACAGCCACCTATCTAAACCTTTTCTATTAATAGCTCATCTGTGGTTCTTAAAGGTAACATTCAAGAA